CAAGCAGAGGTTGCAGTGAGCCGAGATTGAACCACTGCACTCCAGCCTGGGCGACAGAGCAAGACTCTGTCTCAACAACAACAACAACAAACCAAACCAAACAGTGTTAAAGATAAAAAATGTAGCAGGCACTTACCATGAGTAGAGCTTGCAGGACTCCTTGTTGCTCTGGGTGAGTCAGTGAGTGAATGCGAAGGTCTAGGACATTACTGTACACTACTGTAGACTTTATAAACGCTGTACACCTAGGTTACACTAAGTTTATAAAAAAGTAATTTTCTTCAATAATATGTTAACCTTAGCTTTCTGTAACTTTATAAACTTTATAATTTTTTAAACTTTTTGACCTTTTTATAATAACACTTAGCTTAAAACACACATTGTACAGCTATAAAACATTTCTTATGTCCTTATTCTATAAGCCTTTTTTCTGTTTTTATTTTTATTTTTTTTACTTTTAAAAATTTTGTGAAAAACTAAGACACAAACACACACATTAGCCTAGGCCTACACAGGGTCAAGATCGTCAATATCACTGTCTTCCACCTCCACATCATGTCCCACTGGAAGGTCTTCAAGGGCAGTACACAAGGAGTCGTCCTCTCCTCTGATAACGGTGCTTTCTGGAGTACCTTCTGAAGGATCCGGCTGAGGCTGTTTTACAGTTAACTTTTTTTTTTTTAAAAGAATAAAAAGAGTACACTGTAAGATAAGCATAGAAGTATAGTAAATCGATATATCAGTAACAAGATTTATTATCAAGTATTATGTAGTGTACGTAATTGTATGTGGTATACTTTTAGATGACTGGCAGCATGGTGTGTTTACACCAGTGTCACCATGAACACATGGTGTTTGACAGTTATGATGTCATTAGGCTATAGGATTTTTTCAGGTTCATTGTAATTTTATGGGGCCATCGGTTATGTATGTGGTCCATTGACTGAAATGTTGTTATGCAGCATATGACTATCAACACATGAATGTCTGTGATCCATTTAAAATTTTTAATATGGTGTGGGGTAGGTGTCCAAGGATTTTTATGTTTTTTTTTTTTTTTTTGCATATGAAAATATCTGAATCATTAGTCATGAGGGAAATGTAAATTAAAACCAAAATGAGAAACCATTACCCACATATTAGAATAGCTAAAATAGAAAAGACTGACCAGAGCAAATGTTGGAGAGGATTTGAAGGAACTGGATGGGGATGTCTCATATGTCTCATACACTGCTGATGGGAATGTAAAATTGTACAGCTCGGCCAGGTGTGATGGCTCATGCCTGTAATCTCAGTACTTTGGGAAGCCTAGGTGGGTGGATCACATGAGGTCAGGAGTTCTGAGACCACCCTGGCCTGCGTGGTGAAACCCCGTCTCTACTAAAAATTATACAAATTAGCAAGGTATGGTGGCACCTGCCTGTAATCCCAGATACTCAGGAGGCTGATGCAGGAGAATCGCTTGAACTCAGGAGCCAAGATCATGCCACTGCACTCTATCCTGGGCAACAGAGCAAGACTGTTTGAGAATGAATGAATGAATTAATTAATTAATTAATAAATAGCCGGGCATGGTGGCTCATTCTTGTAATCCCAGCACTTTGGGAGGCCGAGGCAGGCGCATCACCTGAGGTCAGGAGTTCAAGACCAACCTGGACAACATGGTGAAACCCCGTCTCTACTAAAAATAATTTAGCTGGGCATGGTGGCATGTGCCTGTAATCTCAGCTACTTGGGAGGCGGAGGCAAAAGAATCACTGGAACTAGGAAGGCGGAGGGTGCAGTGAGCCAAGTTCATGCCACTGCACTCCAGCCTGGTGACAGAGCAAGACTCTGTCTCAAAAAAATAAATAAAATAAAAAATAAAAATAAATAATAAATTTGTATAGCTGCTTTGGAAATTCATTTGGCAATTTCTTTTTTTTTTTAATTAATTTTTTTTTTTTTTGAGACGGACTCTTGCTCTGTTGTCTAGGCTGGAGTACAGTGGCACTATGTCAGCTCACTGCAACCTCCACCTCCTGGGTTCAAGCAATTCTCCTGCCTCAGGCTCCTGAGTAGCTGGGACTACAGGCGCACACCACCACACCTGGCCAATTTTTGTATTTTAGTAGAGACGGGGTTTTACCGTGTTGCCCAGGCTGGTCTCAAACTCCTGAGCTCAGACAGTTCTCCCTCCTCGGCCTCCCAAAATGCTAGGATTTTAGGCGTGAGCCATCGCACCTGGCCTGGAAATTTCTTAAAAAGTTAAATATATACCTTCCATATGCTCTAGTAATTCTCCTAGAGATGTACCTAATAAAAATGGAAGCCTGTGTTATCAGAAAGACTTCTATACCAGTCTTCCTCATATACAAGCAGTGTCAACCTAAAATAACCAAAAGGGTCAAAATCTAACCTAAAGAGGGTTTATTCAAGCACAAAGAGTAAGAATGGACCACCTGGAAACACCAACTCCAAAGGAATGGAGTCAGCGTTCTGAAGTAAGAAAGTTAAGATTTCATTTGTATAGGCAGAGACAGGAGTTTTTAGCAGGATTTCAACACTTTTCATACAAGATTGGCACAAAGTTACAGAAATTTGGTTGGTTATACGCAGTGTTTCTTTTTGGGAAAGGGTGCATTTAACATTTTTTACAGAGGGTGTAATACTCATGGGTTTTCTGTTATCTGGTCTCAGCAAAGCAGGACAATAAAGGGTAAATTAATCATAACAAGGGTCATTAAGAAGGCAGGAGGTTTTTGTCACTGTCATTTTTCTCTAGTCATTGTATAGAACAAGAAAAGAATGTGAGTTAATATATAATCTGAGAACAGAAGTTGTAACCATATGTACTCAGATTAGTCACATCTCTCTCAAGGCTTAACAGTATTTTTTTTAAGGTTCCAACATCTTTTAAATTTTATTTATTTACACACCAACAACTAGAAACAACCAAAATGTTTACCAATAATTGAATAGATAAACCAATTATAGTCTAAACCCACCTAGCAATAAAAAGGAGTGAATTACTAAGACATGCAACGTGGATGAATCTCAAAAAACTGAGCTGCAAGAAATAAGCAACACAAAAAATAGTACATACTGTATAATTCTATTTATGTAACATTCCAGAAAATGCAAACTAACTTATAGTGACAGAAAACAGATCTGTGATTACCCAGGGAAATAAGGCCGTGGAGGAGGGAGGAAGTAGAAAGAAGCACTAAGAAACATCTGAGGGTTTGGGTATGTTCATTATCTTGATTATGGTAATGGTCTCACATATGTCAAACATCATATTGTATACTTTAAATATGTGCAGTTTATCGTATGTCAAATATACCTCTATAAAACTCTTTAAAAATATGAGTATTGTGATTTGTCATACATACAACATTAATCCTTCAGAATTTAGCCTTGCACTAACTTTTTTTTTTTTTTTTTTGAGACGGAGTCTTGCTCTGTTGCCCAGGCTGGAGTGCAGTGGCGCGATCTCAGCTCACTGCAACCTCCACCTCCTGGGTTCCAGCGATTCCCCTGCCTCAGTCTCCCGAGTAGCTGGGATCATAGGCGCCTGCTACCACGCCCAGCTAATTTTTGTGTGTGTATATATACATATATATATTAATATATATATATATTTTAGTAGACATGGGGTCTTGCCATGTTGGCCAGGCTGTTCTCAAACTTAGGGCCTCAAGTGATCCGCCCGCCTTGGCCTCCCAAAGTGCTGGGATTACAGGCGTAAGCCACCGTCCCCGGCCCTTGCACTAACCTTTTACTTAAAAATCAACCCATAATCAAAACAATCGAAAAATGCCTGGATTATATTATGTCCATTTCAGATTTCCCGTTTCCCAGTAGCACCAGGTCATAAGGCCACAGCTGTCTGCATGTTGCTCTATTTCGGGTATCAAAAGACGCCAAACACAGGGACAGTGAGTGCCTTTAACTTAACTCACAAGAGGTCACAGGAGGGTGACCTCCCGTAAAAGCACGCAAATACTCAATGTGTGACTCCACCCCTCCTAAAAAGTGGTAAAGGCGTGCGATTTCCTTTGTGTGCACGAAAGTACAAATGATGTAATAATAGTCCACGGCCTGGCCTTAGACTCCACATCTGCCAGGAAAATTTAACTATAGGGAGAGTGATGGAGGCGCTGGAATCCAGGCACGGAGAACATGCAGGAATTGGTTAAAAAAAAAAAAAAAAAAAAAAAAAAGTGTCTTTCTCCCAGAGTCCCACTTCCGCCTGCGTCACGTACCTGCGCCGGCAGCGCTCTTGCTTTCCTGTCCGGTGCGATCCCCAGTCACTGTACTTTGGGTCCGGCACGCTTGCCGTCTGCTTCGTCTGCCCTTACACCGGTTGCCCAGCATCCCTGCAGTTCGCGGTACAGTCTCTTCTAGGGCGCATGTATAGGGGCAGAGGGGAGTGAAGTCCACAGTTCTAGAGGTAGAAGGGGCGCGGGGAAACCACCTGGTGTCGGCCTTCCGCTTGCTGATCAAGAGCTCGCTTTAATGCCGCAGGCCATTGATAAACGATGGGACTGGGCCTCGGCCTGGAGGGCGTTCGTCTTCTCCTTGCCCTCAGCTCATATAGGAGGAAACCGAGGCGTGGCATTGGGCGAGAACCCAGGTGCCCTGACCGCGCACTTCCCGCACCTCCGCCGCCGTGTGTCTCGTGTCCAGCGCTGGCTGGAGCGCCTCAGCCCTGGCGCGGTGTAGTTGTGAGCCGGAACTTCTGACACTGCCCCTTCCTTCCCCGTCCAGCCTGCCGACCATGCCCGCGGGCGTGCCCATGTCCACCTACCTGAAAATGTTGACAGCCAGTCTCCTGGCCATGTGCGCAGGGGCAGAAGTGGTGCACAGATACTACCGACCGGAGCTGGTGAGTGCGGGAGGGCTCATGTTTTATTTTTGAGCCAAATGTACCTCATTTCTTTGTTAATTACCCAGCCTTAAGCATTCCCTTATAGCAATGCAGATGCTCCTGGACCACTCCATTCTCCCTGTGGCAGCAAAAGTGATCTTAAACGAAATTAGGATCACATTTGCTCTGGGCCCAAAACCTTTGGATGGCATCCCATTGCATCTAGGGCAATGCATGGCCTGTGAGGTCTTACAGTCTGGCCGCTGCCTACCTGTGGCCCATCTGCCACCATTTTACCAGTTCTTTCCCCTGTTAACATTCACACCTGCTTTCTTGCTGTTTCTCCAATTCATCAAACCTGTCCCCATTTCGGGGCCATTCTTTTTCTTATCCTTGGCATGTCCTCCTCCCCCCACCCCCCAACAACTTGGCTTGGTTTCCTTCTTCAGAACTTCAAGCCTTAGCTCAAGTCTCTCCTCCAGCAATGAGGGTCCTTGGGCTAGCTCCCAAAGAATTCCTCCTCTGCGATTCCGTCTCATCCTTTGTTTCCATAGAGCACTTGTCTGCAGTTCTTTGTCTATTCATTTGTTCTTTGTCAGTTTGCTTCAGTAGAATGTAAGCTCCAGACTGTGTCTGTCTGGTTCATTCTTGTATCTCAACTGCTTGGAATGTAGCAGACACTCAATAAGTTTTTGTCGAATGAAGGATGAGTGAATATAGGTATTCAAAGGAGGGAGAAATTTAAATTAATTTTAATAAGCATTCATTAAATTAGGAACTGAAATTGAAGGTTCTTTTCAGGAATTGTAGTCTTGGGGAGGTGGAGATGAGAAAGTATGGCGCAGATGATTATAAGAATGTGCTGTTATGCTATAGGTGTGAATAGTGGTTTGGAGCACAGTATTGGAAGCAGTCATTTCTGTTTGGACTCTGCCTGGACAGGTAACACTTACAGAGAATCAATCATCACAGAGAATTTCTTCTTTTTAAAGAAATTTTTATGAAAAATAATTTTTAAAAAATTAGAGACAGGTCTCATTCTGTTGCCCAGGTTGGAGTGCAGTGGTGCAATCAGAGCTCACCACAGCCTCACATTTCTGGGCTCAATCAATCCTCCTGCCTCAGCCTCCTAAGTAGCTGGGATGACAAGTTTGCACCATCACACCTGGCTAATTTTTAAATTTTTTGTAGAGACAAGGTCTCAAAATGTTGCTCAGGCTGATCTCCAACTCCTGGCTTCAAGAAGTCCTCCCACCTTGGCCTCTGAAAGTGCTGGGATTACAGGTGTGAGCCAGTGTGCCTGGCTCCATTTGTATTTGCACTTATGTTGTATTTTTATTTTTTGAGTTGGAGTCTCACTCTGTCACCCAGGCTGGAGTGCAGTGGTGTGATCTGATTTCACTGCAACCTCTGCCTTCTGGGTTCAAGCAAATCTCATGCCTCAGCCTCCTGAGTAGCTAGGATTACAGGCGTACACCACCATGTGTAGCTAATTTTTTCTATTTTTTAGTAGAGATGGTGTTTCACTGTGTTGGCCAGGCTGGTCTTGAACTCCTGGCCTCAAGTGATCCACCTGCCTCTGCCTCCCAAAGTGCTGGGGTTACAGGCGTGAGCCACCGTGCCTGGCCCATTTGTATTTTTAACATGAGTTAATTGTCACTACAATTTTGAAGGTGTAATTCCTGTTTTCACATGAGAAACAGATTGAGAAGAGTGAAGTTGATTTCTCAAAGTCACATAGCTTAATGAGGTGATTGAAGGATCTGAAACCCAAGCTTTCTGTTTTGTATGTCTCTTTTTCGCTCCTGTTCATAAAATAATCCAGTACTCTTGTAAAACATTCAAACTGAATTCAAGTATGTAGAGTAAAAAGTGAAAATCCCCCCTCTTATAACCTGCTTTCTCCTGTCTGCTCCCCACACGTAACTACTGTGTCTTGTTTGGTGAATATCCTTCGCCTCTTCTCACTGGTGTTGAATGTCCACTGATATGGGTTGGATATTTGTCCCTTCCAAACTGCACGCCAAAATGCGATCCCCAATGTTGGAAGTAGGGCCTGGTGGGAGGCGTTTGGGTCATGGGAACGAATCCGTCATGAATGGCTTGGTGCCCTCCCTGTGGTGATGAGTGAGTTCTCACTTTATTAGTTCACGAGAGCTGGTTGTTTAAAAGAGCCTAGCTTGCTCTCTCACTCCCTCTCTTGCCATGTGTTACACCTGCTCCCACTTTGCCTTCTGCCATGAGTTAAAGCTTTCTGAGGCCTCACCAGAAGCTGGACCAATGCTGGTGCCATGCTTGTACAGCCTGCAGAACCACAAGTCAAATAAACCTTTTTTCTTTATAAATTACCCAGCCTCGGGCAATGCAAAATGGACGAATGCACCTGTGCATGCGTGGACTCACACACACACAGTTTGTGGAGTGTTTTTCCTTCATGTGAATAGGAGTTCATGTACACATTTCTCTGCAGCTTCCTTGTTTTGGTTATCATCTACATAAATAGATGTTTGTGTATATTAAATCTTTTTAACTATTGCATAGTATTTCATAATATAACTATGACATTTATTTGATCAATCCCTTATTGACATTTAGGTAGTACGTAGTTTTTGTACAAACAGTGCTGCAAGAGCTCTTTCTTACAACTTCAGAGTGCTTTTCTTTTAAAAAGGGTTCTATTGAGCATCAGGGATACCTAGTGGAGACAAAGTGACAAGAACCTTCCACAGTAATGCAGTTTAGTGTATAGCTTGTGCAGGAATAGACATCAGGCAGGCCTTGCAAAAGAAGGAATGCCTGGGATTTGCCCTTGGGAAATTGACCTTTGATTCACCCATTTCATTATAATTGGGAATGTGCAAGGGTTGTTACAGCAGCTACCTGTACCTTGGGAGTAGATAGAATGAAGCCACGGTCTTTAGAAGGGCCATATTGAAGGGTCTAAGGCCACCTCAGTTTGATTGGTTGGTGACATTGGCAATGAGGTATCTCTGTAGGAACTTGAAGGCCCAGGTGGCTGGCTGTGTGTCGGAAGCAGTGTGCTTCATTAACATTTATATGTTCTTTACCTATGTCTTTTGGTATTGCTCCAGCAATTACTGTCACTATTGTTAACCACTTTGTTCTTTGTAACAAAGCCGGATCACAAGTCCTTTAGTCTGAGAACTGGAAGGTCTGGGCAGAGTCGAACAGAGGAGACCATGATGACTGCCCAGACTTGTGCTTTGGTGCTGTGTTGGGGAGAACTGCTACAGGTGCTTTGTTTTAGTTGTCCATCTCAGATCATCTGAATAGCAAAGGGGATGACTCTGTTGTAGTTCAGGTTGAAAGCTAGGAGTTGTCTTTAATTCTTCTCTCATACTGTACATATCAGTAGATCCCATTGGGTTAACCTGAAAAGTACATCCAGATGCTGCCTGCTTCTCACCACCTCTGTTGCTACTACCCAATTCAATCCACTGTCAGTTACTTTCACCTGTTGTTGTAATAGCTTCCTGACCTGTCTTCTGCCTTCCACTCTTGCTCTCCTGTGGTCTGTTCTCAGCAAAGCTACCATTGTCATCTCTGTACACTTGAGTGAAGACATGCCACTCTTCTCAGAACTCTCCAGTGTCTTCCCATTTCAGCGTGAAAAACACTGGAGACTTTATCTCCCCACTCCCTTTTTCCTCTGCCCTTTTCTCCCCTTAACCTCCCCGTGAATACTTTGTGCCAGCTATACTGACAATCTTGCTTCTCCTTGAACATGAAGCCACACTCCTGCCTTAGGTCCTCTGCACCTGTGGTTCCATCTGCCTGAAATGCTCCTAGGTAACTGCATGGCTGACTCCCTCATCCTGTTTCATGTCTTTGTTCAGAAGTCATCTTCTGAACACCAGTAAGTACACAGAAAGATGCTCAGCACTATTAGCCACCAGAGAAAGGCAAATCAAAACCACAATGAAATACCACCTCATATCCACTACAATGGCTATAGTAAAACAGATAGTAACAAGTGTTGTCAAGGATGTGGAGAAATTGAAAGCCTCACGCGTTGTTGATGGGAATATAAAATGGTGCAGTGGCTTCAGAAAAGCCTGGTAGTTCCTCAAGCAGTTAAACATTAGAGTTTCCATATGACCCAGCAATTCCACTTTTAGGTTTATGCCCAATAGATGTGAAAACACATATCCACACAAAAACTTGTATATGAATATTCAGAGCAGTATTATTCATAATATCCAAGCGGTGGAAAATCCAAATGCCTTTTAGCTGATGGATAGATGGTATATCCATACAATGGAGCATTATTGAGTAATAAAAAATGAAATACTGATACAAGCTACAACATTGATGAACCTTGAAAACATTATGCTACATGAAAGAACACAGAGGACCACATATAATATGATTCAATTTATAGAAAATATCCAGAATAGGCAAATCTATATAGACAAAAAGAAGACTAATAGTTGTCTATGGATATGTGGGGGAGGGTTGTATGGAAATTAAAGTGGCTGCTAATAAGTATGGGGTTTCTTTTTGGGGTAATGAAAATGTTCTAAAATGTATTGTGGTGATAGATGCACAACTCTGTGAATACCTTCCTTGAATGCAAGGATTTTGTATTTTTTTGCATACTGCTTTATGCTTTGCATATAATAGGCACTTAATATTTTTGAATTAATAAATCAATTCCTAACACTTATTTTCTATGCCATGCACATGGTAGAGAGTCAGTAGATGGTGCAGGAGTGAATTTCCAAATGTGGAGAGTTTTATTCAAAGCTGTGAACCTGTCCATTGATTGCGATGCCAGCTATCCTCTGTGAGTCCTGCAGTACGTAATACCGAAGACCTTGCCAGGATGATAGACTCATAAACACAGGGTTAGAGAGGGACTTAGATCAACCAGAGCTTCTCATAATAAAGATCTATCATTGAGTAGCAAGTAGGGGAACTTTTTGTTATTTTTTACTCTTTAAAGTCTTTCAGGTTACATTGAATTGCAGCCTTATTAAGGGTTAGACATTTGTGTTTTTTGTTTTATTTTTTTTGCAGACAATACCTGAAATTCCACCAAAGCCTGGAGAACTCAAAACGGAGCTTTTGGGACTGAAAGGAAAACACAAACCTCAAGTTTCTCAACAGGAGGAACTTAAATAACTATGCCAAGAATTCTGTGAATAATAAGTCTTAAATATGTATTTCTTAATTTATTGCATCAGACTACTTGTCCTTAAGCACTTAGTCCAATGCTGACTGCAAAAGGAGGTGCTCAGTGGATGTTTAGCCTATACGTTGAAATTTAATTATGGTTTGATTGATATTTCTTGAAAACTGCCAAAGCACATATCATCAGACTCATGAATATGGTTTGAAAGATAGTCAGTCTTGAATATAATTTGAAATAGAATATTTGTAAGTCTACTATGTGGGTTGTCTTTATTTCATATAAATTAAAAAATTATTTAAAACTATGAACTAGTTTCATTAATTGAATTTGCTAAGTGGAGTTATTTCTCATTGCTAAACTATTTTCAAATTCTAGATCTCTGCTAACTTTAGTAAATGAACACCAAAGTGGTGAGCTTTGATAATGCATTTTGTGGATACAAAATCATCGCCTCATCACTTTCTAGAATGAAAGGCTGGGGGCATTGCTCACCTTTTGCGTGAAGAAAAGACCCATCCCTTAGGGCCAGTTTGTGCTTAAGGGGAGGACAGACCATCACTCAGTGGACCATGTGAATGAATGGATGCAGTGGATGCTTTAGAAGTACCGCATTTTACAGGTACAGAGTAGGTGGCCTGGCTACTGAGGGAAAGAGTCATGATTTGAATCCGAGTCTCCTGTAAGACAATGACTTCATGAAGGTGAAAAATCAGTTTTATGGTTATTAAAATAAAAAATTTACCTCAGGTCAGGTAAAAATGCCATCTTTATTTCATTAAGTGCTGGTTCTAAGTGACTTCCAATAAGATACATTCTCTTCCTGTTTTGAAGTTGATCTCTATTGTGAAAAATAGACATTGTAGTGGTCATGGAAATGCGCCATCCAGACTCCCTAAGGAAGCTTGTTGCCCTAGCATCAAGCATGCCAGGAGCTTTCAATGGTCAGCTTCTGGAAGGATTGCCTCAGCTACGGTGGCCTTGCTCAAAGCCATGCCTCCTGAAGGGGCCCAAATCCAATGACTGTTGGAGGTGAGAATAGAAAGCCCTGGCCACTTCAGCACATGAGTGGTGGGCAACTCTGATGGGCCCACCACAACTCCCTGTGGGGTTTATGGTCCCTGTCTTTGGATCTGCGTTGCAGCTCGACTTCTCCCTCAGCTCGGTCTCGTTTCCTTTCTCAGGTGTTGATCAAAGGGTGCGCCTTCATAGACCCTCTGCTAGACTGCATCTCAGTGTTTCTTGGAGAACCAAATCTGTAACATATATGCATTAAAAATTAAAAGCAGTACTATATTATCCCCTAATAATGATGTTTTTTAACTTAAAAGGCTGAGATAGACCAGTTGCAACCTGTTTGGTAATTAAATTAGGCCAGTTAAACAGTTTTTGTGCAAGATAGGTATGATTGAGCTGTTTATTTTTATCAAAAACTGAAGGAGTATGATGCTTTCCTGCTAGGAACAACAGAAATTTAGTAATTATAGGATTCCGAGGAGCAAAAGTGTCAGATATCACTAATTCAATATGATCTGATGGCTTTGATTTCTACAAGTGTATCACAGCAGTATTAACAATGGTAATGCATAGTGGCTCCAAAATGGGAAACATTACAAGTAGCAATTAATACAAGCCTATATCATAAAAGGAAGCTATATATACCTTAATTACAGCATGTTTCTGTAACTGAGCTGCTGTTCTACTATAAAGGAAAAAGCAGGGTGGTTTTCAGAAGACGTATACGCAAGTAGGGAAGCTGGTAATAATAATTGCAAACTAATTCTAGAAAAATACCTTAAGGTAGGGGGTGGGGAAGCATGAACAGAAAAGTAAGTCCATAGAGGAGTACTAGATCATCAGAAAAACTGTAAAGTCTCTAATGAAACTTTGTAGCACATAAATTAATTCCTGCAAAATTTTCTAATACACACATGATCCTTGAATATACAGCTAAGACATCTCTCTAGCCCACAGTAAAAACAACAAAAACTTAAGACTACCTTTTCAGTTGGCTCTAACAGACTAGTGAAATTAAAAATTGTTTCATAAACAAGAGTACATTTCAAAATATAGGTCAATGTGGATTTTCACTCAATGCCAATAGTTATCTCTGGTAGGATTATAGGTGATTTTTTTCAAAGACAGCTTTTTTTTTAAAGTTTAGATTTACAGAAAAATCAGTAGCGTTCCCATATACCCCACGCTGTTTGTAGGAATGTTGTCATCTTAAACTACCATGGTATGTCAGTTAAGAAACCAGTATTGGGGGCCGGGTGTGGTGGCCCAACACTTTGGGAGGCCAAGGTGGGCGGATCATTTGAGGTCAAGTTCAAGACCAGCCTGGCCAATGTGGTGAAACCCCATCTCTACTAAAAATATAAAAATTAGCCAGGCGTGGTGGCGGGCACCTATAATCCCAGCTACTCAGGAGGCTGAGGCAGGAGAATCGCTTGAATCCAGGAGGTGGAGGTTTCAGTGAGCCAAGATCGCGCCACTCTACTCCAGCCTGGGAGACAATGATGCCATCTCAAAAAAAAACCAGTATTAGTAAAATACTCCAAACTATACTCTAGACTCTGGACTTTAGATTTCACCAGCTTTTCCATTTAACACCCTTTTATTTCCAGGGTACCACACTGCATTTGTTAGTAGTTGTCATGTATCCTTAGTCTTCTGCCATCCATGATTACTTCTCAGCCTGTTTTTCTGAGGAAAATTTTCTGGAAATTTTGAAGAATACTGTTCACATATACAAAATATGTCTGTTTTTCTCATTAGATTGACATTACAGGTTTTTGGAAACCGCAGTACACTTCACATCCTGTCAGAGGGGTACACATCACTGGTGGTATTAACATTGATCACTTGATTAAGTCTGCCAGGTTTCTCCACTGCAAAGTTACTTTTTCCCTTTCCTATACTCTGTTTTTTAGGAGTCACTTAATCTAGCCCACATTCAAAAAGAAGAGGAAGATTAAGCTCCACCCCATGAAAGGGGGAGTATCTACATACATTTGGAAATCTTTAAGGAAATTCTGTCATCTCCCTGTGGGAGACTTTTTGAAGTCTTTGGTTTTTCAACAGTCTCAAGCTAAGTTCAAATAATCCTCCTGCCTCAGCTTCCTCAGGAGCTGGGTGGGACCACAGGTGTGTGTCACCATGACTGGCTCAACCTTTTTTTTTTAAATCTTTTCTTGGGAGGCAGAGGTGGATGGATCACAAGGTCAGGAGTTCAAGACCAGCCTGGCCAAGATGGTGAAACCCTGTCTCTACTGAAAACACAAAAAATTAGCTAGGAATGGTGGCGGGCACCTGTAATCCCAGCTACTCGGAAGGCTGAGGCAGAGAATTGCTTGAACCCAGAAGGCGGAGGTTGCAGTGAGCAGAGATGCTGCCATTGTACTCCAGCCTGGGCAAGAGCGAGACTCGGTCTCAAAAAAAGAAGTAAAAAATAAAAAAATCTTTTCTTCATAAGCCTGAGTTACTTTTCTAAGAAAAAGAACCCAAGACACATGATTTAAAAAAAAAAACTCAGCCAAGTATTAGGCAGTTCTCTGCAAGACAGTGAAGACACTGAGTATTTGGGATCTTTTTTATTTTTATACACATGACAAGATTTTACATCAAGAATAGTCAGTTAAATAGTACAAATTTACATTCATGAGGAATGTTAAAAAAAATTCAACTAAAAAACCCACTTCTTCCTGTGACCCAAAATCCCACATTTTACAGTGCAGGGGAGAAGGGGATTGGTGGGGGGCATCCAAACAAGTCTCTCCCAGAAGAAATGACGTCAATTTCACATTCCCTCTCCACACAGGATCCAAATGGTGAGAGGATAATTTACAATTCATCTTTTTCAGCTGTAGATTCCTGTTGGAAAAAAAAAAAAAACAAACCCGGAAGATATTAACAGTTAGCAGAAAAAAAAACCTAGCTGACAAAAGGCTTGTGCATGAAACAGTTTAAATGCTAGTCTGACTTCTGTAAGTTACACAGTCCTAACTTTGCCAGAACTGAAACTCTGTCCTAACTTTGCCAGAACTGAAAATGCAAGTCACATTCTTGATTTGCTCTACCTTTGCTGTTTCTTGTTCTTCTTCATCTGTTCCCACATCCATTTCTTCGTCTTCGTCTTGCTCTGTGTCTTCTGTCGTGTCTTCTGTTGTCTCTTCAGGTTCTTCTTCGGGCTCATCTTCCACCTAAACACAACATTTATGGGCCCATTAATGCCTTGGATTTATTTCCACTTTGCTCATTTAAATGTATAAAATCATAATTAATGCCACTTCTGTTTATTCAGAACCACAGAGTAAATCCTCTAACTAAATAAACAGCCAAGGTAACAAAAGGAGGCAGGCAAAAAGGAAAGAGGACATAAAAGGAGGACTTAGTTCCTAGTGCAGTGCCTGACACTACAGGGATTCAAACATTCAATAAAATTCTTTCAAAAGGTAGAAATTAGGCAAATGTCTCAAAGCTACATCCCTCAATCATTAGAGGCCTATTCCGAAAGAGCAGAAACAAAGCCAGCCAGCCTCTGTGGGAAGGTTGGGGATACAAACCTTTGCATCAGGGTCAATGTTCAAACTGAGGCGAAGCATTCTTTCTATTCTATCTCCATATGCTTTAGTGTCTGGTAAAAGATATCCTGACCGAAGCGTTGCTGTTTCAAACAAAACCACAGCAAGATCCAAAACTGTTTTATCATCTTCATCTTCCTGAGATGGAAGAAGATGCACTAGATTAATATTGAAAAATACAAAGTATTCATATTAAAAGACAAGCAAGAGGACTACTGTAATACTACCTTAATTCGTCGAAGCATGTCTCTGATCAGCGGGTGTCTGGGATTAATTTCAAATGTTTTCTTCTGACTCGCATAGTAACTGTTAAGAGATAAAAATGAACATTAACAAAACATATCCAATTTTAGGGTTCATACATTTCCCTTATTCTTTCATAATTACAGAGGACAACTCTTGGTAAAAAAATCAAAATGTACTATTGACACTTGAACACCACAGGTTTGAACTTATATGCTATTTTTTTTCCAATACATACAGTCCACCCTCTGTATGTGCAGGTTCAGCAACCAAACTCGGAGAGAAAATACAGTATTCTTGGGATGTGGAATCTGCACACACAGAGCTCCAACTCTTCATATACACAGGTTCCACAGGGCAGACTGGGGGACTAGAATATATGTGGATTTTGGTAGGGGTCCTAGAACCAATCCCTCTCGTACACCTAGGGGTGACTGTACTTTTCCAGTCCACTTTATCTGCGGAGTCAACCAACCTCGGATTGAAAATACTAGAAAGTGCAAAACAAGAAAAAAATAAAAAACCCGATGTAGTATAATAGCTATTTATATAGTACTTACATTGCATTGGGTATTAAAAGTAATCTACAGATTAAAGTACATGGCAAGATGTGCATAGGTTATATGCAAATATGACATGACTTTATATAAGGGACTTGACTCTGTGGATTTTGGTATCCATGGGATGTCCTGGAACCAACACCCCATGGACACAAAGGGATGACTGCACTGTTTCCTTATTTAGTTTTTATAGAGACAGGGTATCACTATATTGCACAGACTGGTCTTGAACTCTTGGCCTCAAGTGATCCTCTCACCTCAGCCTCCCAAAGTGTTGGGATTATACACGTGAGCCACGTGCCCAGCCTGTATTGCTCCCTTTTAACAGGGAAGCAGGGCAGGGAGCAAGTGGACATGGTTAGATGAAAAATGAAATGAACTACTTTATTTACTGATGAGTCCCAAGTACCTGGAGCACCACTGAACAGATGAACTGATTTAATGTCCTGTTTGTTCCCTCTTAGTTTATTCTTACTACCATAATTATAGTTCTGCTTCCCTGAGTTCAGAAAAATCTATGCAGCTTCTGGATGCTGCTCCAATAATAATACCTTCTCCACGATGCCTTCACCAATATGATTCCAAGAAAAATTAACTTCTTTTATCTGAACTCAGTTCCAAATGTATTTTGAATATACCTTCAAAATCCTTAGCATTTTAGTGTTAGTTGTGATTATGCTCTCCTCTCTAGTTTACAGCTCTGAGGACAGGGAGGAGCCACATCTATCCCTATCCTGGTGTACCCATTATCTATGTAGGGCTCAGATTATGACTTGTCTTTTTTTTTTTGTAAATAAAAAAGAGATGGAGTCTGGCTATGTTACCCAGGCTAGAGCTAGAGTGCACTGCCATTACAGCACACTACAGCCTTGAACTCCCGGGATCAACTGATCCTCTTGCATCAGCCTCCTTA